TAATGAGGTTGGGGAAACTTGCTAGAATTTCTCTCAATCATAGCGACATCAGTGCCGGCCGAAAGACGTGCGACGCGAAACAATGATTGATGAGACAGATTAAGGACGAGCTTGGTACGGTTAATTGCTCGTAGTAAATCTGAATAGTCAACTGCTCGGTACATGAGAATGATTGTATAAAAGAGTTACGTAACAGCATTCATGTGTATAGCACAATGCTGATGCATCTTTCGTGCAGCTATGAAACACAAAGTAACTCTCCCACTGCGGAAATAAGGATTATGATTTAAAGAGAAAAGCACCTACTGAAACAGCCTTGTTGTTAAGCTGTCTGACAGCGGACCCAGGGTTAGGGGTTCGAATCCGCTTGGCGTCATTTTTTGGTTTTCGATGCCCGCGGTTCTGTCACTTAAGAGTATTAATTTCCCGTCGTCATTTACCAACAGCAGTTAGCTCGGTCGGTCGGTAAGCTGACTCACAAGTTGGGACTGTCTGCGAAGTCCAGGTTGGCATCTGCGTATAGGTACGGGGTTCTTTTGCTGACTCGGCAGCAAGGCTTAGGGTGCCACCTCGTTTCCTCCCTTTATGGTGCCTGACTTTCGAGTTACATGGATGGACAGGGAAGGAGGTGTGGTGGGCCGGGTACCGAGTCCCGGAAGAGTTCTATATGGAAGTCGGTAAGGGGCTCATTGAGTTAGGGTCATAAGTCCGACTCCTGAAGACTTGGCCATCGCCACATAACTTTTTGTTTTATTTTCTTTCTTTTCTATCAGAGGACAATTGCAAGAATGATTAATTTGTTATATTGAGAGCTTGAACTGTAATCGTTCGAAAATTTTGTAATATTGCACGAAAATAAAATAAAAAATTTAATCCAGCTATAATGTTTTTATTTCATTGTCGCAAAACTGCATGTACATGCTCAGTACCTTTGCGCATACCTTGTTCGGGCCTGTTCCCTGATCCCAGACTGCGGGGGGGGGTCTTTAAATCCTATTGTGGAATTTTTCTTATTTTTATATCTTTCTATAGGCACAGCCGTAGCTGTCAACCCCCGTATATGAAGCGACTTCCTGTGCCGACATGACAGAATGTACAATCTTTTGACATGGGTTTCAGAACCGGATTTTAGCTTCGCGGAGTTTTGAGCAGCGGTGTTTATTGTTTACATTCTCCGCTTTGTTCTTATTTCCTCTTCCCATGGACGTCGCGAGGGGGGGGGGCACCCCCCCCCGGAAAGCGGTAAAAAGGGGGGAAAAGAAAAAGAAAGGAACAAGAGGTGCGAAGCCATGTTGCTGTTTATTTGATGGGGGGGGGGTAGGACAAATGCTCCCCTGCTCAGGCTAAATAAAAATGATAAAATTGAGAATATAATGAAAAAAATAAGGAATTTTGGGGAAAAAATGCTTCCCCCCCGGAAAAAATTCTGGCGATGCCCATGCCTTTCCCCTGCCTTCTCCGTTCTTCGGAACACTGGTACCTAGGGCCTACGAAGCACTTAATCCGGGCCTGTACAGGGCTAGTCAAAAAGAAAGTGACTTGGATTTATTTTGATGCACCAATGAAGAATGTCTTAAAAGAGAATGTTCTTCCACTCTTCTAAAAAAATAAATAATAATAATTGAAATTGATATATGCTAGCAGAAATTACCCATGTTTTACTGAAAGATCATATTTTTGTGGCTGTCTATGATATGCCAGTAGAAGCTTTTGAGCTGAGTAAGAATTACAGTTTTCAAACAGGCATTCAAATACATTTCAGATTTTAATCATTGAGTCAAGACTGAAATATTCTTTTTGCTCCCACGTGTTTTAATTATGAGGAACAAGTCAGCTCCTACCCCTAAAATATTGATGGCGAATTTTGTCTGTTTCCTTTGCAACCTCTCATTCATTCACGAAAGTGGGAAACGTTCATGTTTCATTGTACTTATAACGGTATTTATCAATTCGCAGGACGCTAATAAATGATCAGCGGTGGACAACTGATTGTGTGATCATTTTGATTAAAAGAGACACAACGTAGGACTATATGCAAATTACGTGAACGTTCCAGAGTTACTAAACTATATCTTGTACTGTACCCCTATGTTTATTTTATGAAATGGAGCGAGCCACACATTTTTTGAAATGTTCTTTTCTAATTCGGTCACTTTCTGTTTTACTCGCCCTGTACATTGGACGTTTCGATGACTTATATAAGGGAATAACACAGTGCAAAGTACGATAAATACTGTTTAATAAATAGCTATTAGATTTATGGTACGTATAGGCAACTTGTCTGTAGCGCTTTCATATTAAAGCTTTAGAATTTTAACAGTTCCCGAACATTTTGTATTCTTGATTTCCGCACAAATGTTGGTTTTATTCCTTAACACAGCGATATACTGTCAAAGACTTCATCAAGCTTGTCTCACGTTTTTCGTTAAAGTGTCTGCAATTACTTTGATAATAATCATGTTCCTCCAGAGACGAAGGATGTTGACTTTGCGAAAAATCATGTTTTGGGTTGAGAAGCAATTTTTTTCTGAAAATCGTTGGTCTTTCGCCAAAAAGCCTCTTGCCGTAGAGTGATGGGATTTTAGACAAATGATTGTGATGGTAAAATGGGGGAATAAAAAAGACATCTGGTTTGAATAGCGGATGTCTCCAGTCTTATTTATCAAGACTTCCATTCATTTTCTTCTACGGGGACTGGAATTTTGTGCGTCACAATACACCAAAAGTCGCGTGTACTATGTTTTGTGATACATCAAGGCGCAGTAAATTCTCCTGTAAATTCATGAACACTTCCAACAAATTTATGTATTGATTAAAGGTGAATTTAGCAGTTGTGTTAAACATATAGGCATGGATAATAAATACTGCATATAATCATATTGACAAATTGTAGTTTTCATATATCTGTAGAATCTCTTTTTGGTTTATTTCATCATCAAAAACACTAATTCAAAAACAACTTGCGAGTACAAAAAAGTTTAAATTTGGGTACAAACTACAAAAACGAAATTCTATACTGAGGTATCCTGCCTAATCCGATTTGTATCTGATAGGCTTCGTATGGTATTCAGTGTGACTTCATTCCGATTTTTTTTAAAGCGAAATTGTAAGGCGAAGTCACTTTTGAAATAATTATGAATTACTTCTTTAATGGCTTAATTTAGCCAATACACGTTTTTTGATCAAAACCCAGGATGATTGAAAACCTTGTAAAGGGATACAGTTCAACGCTGAGATAAAGCAGTTTTTCGTGTGAAAAAAAGACACCTAAATATAATGAGGTCGACAATATCCTATTTTCAACGAAATTTACAAAGAAGGGTTTTGATACAACTCGCATGGAAACAAATAACAAACAAACAAAAAAACCAAAATAAAATTTAACAATATAAATCTCTATATATACACATATTATAGGCCAATCTGTGTTATCAATTATATCACGAAGGCCCCTTAAAATGGCGACAGCATTGCGCTAGCTATTGCTCAGATAATCCGTCATGGGGCGGTATAGCTTTGTATAATAGCTCACACAATGCTTTCGCCATTGAAGGGGGGCTCGTGTGTGTATCGTGATCACGTGATCTAATCCGTCTATGCCTCGAGTATAATGAATGAAAGTTTACACAATTTGGAATATATAATGCAAATTATTCTGCAAGCTAATCTATACCTATTTTGTGTTTACTTCTTAATTTGTACGCCTAAAGGGACATACATTTCTGTGTGTGCATGAACCAATGATTACTCTGTATTAAAATATCATCAATGCTCTATAAAGCGGTTTTTCTGTGTATGTATGTTCATCGGTTGCTCATGTGTTAATTACTTACATTGCTAAACTATACAGGGTGAGTAAAAAAAAAAGCGAAACCCAAATGTCGGGAATATTGTTTTAGTGAAGGTCTGCATGTAGCACTTTCAAAGTTTAGGATATAAAAGGCCAATTCATAAGCTTTTGTTTAGTACAAGAATCATTCAAATCACTCGTGTACTTTTCAAGTTACCGAATGTTAAACACAACCACCGTTTTAAAGTTCTGTCCACGGATCACAAAAAAGGTGTGTGTTCTTTCAGCAAAACGAAAACATTTCACGCACATCTCTATGCGATTTGGTTTCGTTTCGCTGAAAGAACACTTACCTTCTTGTGATTCGTGGACAGAACTTTAAACGGCGGTTGTGTTTAAAATTCCGTAACTTGAAAAGTACATGTCTTTGAGTGGTTTGAATGATTCTTGTACTAGAAGAAAGCTGTTATGAACTGGGTTTTCATATCCTAGATTTGTGCTACATGCAGAACTTCACTCAAACAATAGTCCCGACATTTGGGTTTCGTTTTTTTTTACTCGCCCTGTAAAGCAAAAACTTTAATAGTACATTAAAATTATACAGCAGCTGCAATTAAGTTTGTGCAATACGGACATAGTGAAAGCAATGTACAAAGGAGGTATGAAATACAAATACCTCGCCATAGTTTGGAAGGTGCCCCTTAAATAGCTGATCCCAGGTCCGCTTTTACTTTGTTAAATCAGGACTTGGATACTGTGTTTGTATTAATCAAGAAAGGTCACGTGTCAGGTTTGTACATTACATAGTATTTAAATATATGCATAATTCAACATCGCTCAAATACCGTCTGGCACAGTATTTGCGTCAAAAAGGTGCAGTACAGTAATCAGAGATAACATGACGATCATTCATTTCTTACAAAGTAACCGACAACTTTCAATAGCTATTTGGTTTATGGCACAAAACCATTTTACATTACTGTGATCATGGACGTTAATTTTTTTTAAAACTTCGAGACACACGGCGCGTTCAGTGATGTGAAAAACATCATGTCCAACATCACAGTTGGTACTAATTGTTTTTTTTTAATTTGGCACTGAAATTGCATAAATCCCGGGGGATGGGAGGATGCATCCCCCACACTTTCTGACCGGGGGCTGGGGTGTTGAATCATTCCCCCTCCCGCCTCCTCCCCCCCCCCCCCCCCCGTTTTTGAAGATGAGAAACCCCAAAAAATCTTCCCAATTGTCCAAATTAATAAAATAGTTTTGCAACAAAAACGCGGAGAACAAGCTTTTAATGCCCTTTAATAACCCCTAGGCCCATTTTGCTAGGAACCATCCTCAATCCTCCAAAAGTTTACACTCATGCTCAAATAAAGGATACCCAGCGCCTTAACCCTTCAAAATTGTCAGACAGTCCTGCCGCTCAAAATGCATTCATCCTCAATACTCGACTGCAAACACCATTCATCCGCAATCTTCCAAAACCGCCAGGGGGATTTTGGAGGATTGAGGTTGGCCGGGGTTTAAGGGACGTATAAACGCATGTTTCCATTACATAAACATCATTTTGTTTCGTGAATGTTGCATAGTGTCAACCCCCCCCCCCCCCTTTAGAATTCCCACCGCCGGGCAATTTTAGGATTTGGCCGTATGGTCATCCCCCATCCGCCCCACTCGCCAGAATGGATTTACGCCACTGACGAATGTCCTATTTCATTGTACGGGTTCTCCTTAGCAATAGCTTCGGCCTTAAGCGCGGGAATATCGGCGTAGTGGTTGTCTGCCTTCTCCTTGCCCCCATCTAAGGCAACGAAGAAGCCTGAGTCGTCGGCACAGGCGGCGGCAGACCCACAGAGGTCAGGCTGCTCACAGCTCGATATGTACGCGGGGTTGAAGGACTCCACCATGTTGGGACGGGCGGGTCTTTTGGGCAGAGTAGGGGCGTCATCCCTGATGCGGGTACTGTAGGCGATGTCCCCCTCCCCGATGCGGGTATTGTAAGGTGTCTCCAGATCCAGCGGCAGGGCCGATTGGCCCCGGTCGCGGCCTTGGTACTTGATCGCAGCATCCTTGGCTCGATTGATGCTGTAAGAGCAAAAACATACATCTCAGGTAGACCTATACTCCGATATAACTTTTGGTCAGATAAACTCAACATGTCACACTTGCGGCCAGGTGAATTATCACAAAAACGGGCTTTTAAATAGCGCTTTTAACTAAGATCAATGCGCTTTATACATTATTATTACCCCTGATCATTGGACCAATTAAACATTCCAAATACCATCTCCAGTCAGCTCCCTGGGAACTATGCCTGTTAGGCGCAAGGAAGCTAATTTAATCACAATAGCCATCTCTATCCTCACAGGTGCAACTATCAACTGAAAACATATCGTCAGCCGGGTGTAGTTAAGACTGATTTCTACTTCAATCTCATTTCTAACGGTGCAATTTTTATGAGGTATAAAGCGCTGTTACTGGAACATGCCTTGGAAGCTTAGATAATGCATTTTTTTAAAATAGAATTCTAGCGAAAACTACGCGCAGCAGATGCTTGCTTTGAACTTTAATTGGTATCGGTTTGTTCTCATTTTGGGAAGTCGTGAAAGTGAAAAAAGTAGAAAATATTACTTTAGTTCAACATCATATCTTGAGAAAAATAAGAACTATTTATCGGAATACCCTACTATTTCTCAATTTATTGGTAAACTGGTCATTGCTATTTTCCTTTTGGAGTTTGAACTTAATAATTTCATAAGTAGGCATATGTTAATGAAATCGTAAGATTTACAATTTGATGGCCTGCAAAAAAATTAATATAAAACTGATCGTTACATTGATGATATATCTGAAAACTGCTTTGATATAGGCCTACCAGCACCCATCGACATCCTTTGCAAATGCAATTGCAGACAAATATTTTCTCCTTTTTTCCCTGGACCTATGACGTCCTGATTCGACTTTAATTTCGAGCATTATTACTTACTATCCTTTTCGGTAGGAGATGACCCCGACCGCAACAACCGAAGCCACAACAACGACAACGACTAGAATGATGTACCAGTTGGAACCGATCCAGTTCTGTAAAGAAACAGCATATACCTGGCTTTACCGTCTGTAATATTCCATCACCATAATTGAATTGTCACGATAATTTACTTATCTGACCACCATCATCTTTTTTTCACCATTATCAATTCAACATTATCACCATCGTCACTGCTATGTATCACCATTTTCACTACCATCTTCAACCATTACTGTTAGTGACATCTTCCTTCTATTGGCATTTGTCCATCAGCTCTCGATCAGTTTAACATTTTTAAAACACGAAGTCATTATTTAACAAGATTGCTACAGGCCACTATAGGTGGGAGCTACAAAAGAAAACAGAAAACATAAATTTAAAGACAAAATGAAATGAATTACCAGTTGACTTTCCTTCAAATTGAGATGTAAAAGTTGGAAGGGGAAAGAGGGTGGGCAATGAGTTCCACAGGGAATCAGTGAGCGGGAAGACGTTAAGTAACTACCTCAACTCGTGGAACAGAAATGACAGAAGGATGAAAGGAGGCAGGAAATCGAAGAGGGAGGTCAAGATGCGAGGAAGGAGTGAGAAGGGAAAGTCCTCCTGACAGAAGGAGTAGCGCAAAAAGGAAACTAAGCCTCTGTCTTCCAATCCCCAAACCGCAGCCCTTTTTCACAACATGAAAGAGTTTTCACAGCTTACATAATAACAAGTCACTGAAATTGAGTAAGTCAAAGAACTTGGTCACATGTCAAAAAATGTTGTTGTAATCAATTAACCATTGTTTAGTGAGGCATGAGGGAAATTAATTAAAACTCTTAGGGGTTGAGGCCAAGGATTAGGAGTATCTGCACAATCAATAATTTTCAAAATTTACTTCGTAGTTTTGTTGTTCTTTCAAAAATATTAAGGTGAACACTTTTGGGAGATGTGCTGTAGAAGAGCTGCCAGTTATAAGGTCTCCAGGTAGAACTCTCCTGACTTCGCATTGTGCCATGATTGATCCTCAAAAATTTCCACTATTCAAAGTTTCTTCCAGTTAAGGGGAGAAATCCTACCTCTGACGGGTTCCCGGTGAATGGCTCCGCAGATCCCTTGTAGATATCGAGGCCGTACTGGGCAGGAAGATCCGTTGACGCCCCATCAATCCAAGCCTCAATGGTGTCCTTCTGTAAGTAACCCGACTCAGTCCAAGCTAGAAAGGTCACTTTAGTCAGAGGTGAGCTGGGGTGAATAGAAGGTTAATATTTTGAGATGCATGGATTTTATAGATCACTTCATGGTCAATAGTAACCGACGGATTCACTAATCGCTTTATGTAGTAGGATTGCCTTTGCGCGATTGTATGGAGTGCCGCCCTTAATGCATGTTATGCCAATAAAATTAAAAGGCATATAAACATTTGGAAATATTTTTTGTTTCTGTTTTTAGATAGATAGCTTGAAGATTGTTTTGAACTAAATTGTCAACAGGGCTTTTCTCACACGGAAAATGCGTTGATAATCTTTCGGTAAACTAATTACGAGATTATTAACTACAGTATCCAACAATTGAGCAGAATTATGTTTGCACCATTAACTGATAATTTCATTTCAATTTCTGTGTCAAGTAAAACTTGCAAGAAAACTGTGAAATATTATACATACCTATCGGTAGATTTGACATAGTCCTCTGTCAGAACTACTTTCACCGACACAGTTTCTCCGGTGTCTCTGCGCACGCGCGATTGAGGTGCGTAGAGTTTCTGCAGCAGATTGGCCAATTTGGTCTCAAATGCAGACTTATCTTCCAGCTTTCCTGTCACGAAGACGACGGCACCGTACAGTTTTGAATCTTAGACACGTGACAAAAACAAAAGAAATACGGGAATTTTTTATTTTTTAAATTTCGTGAAACGATTGCCCCCAAATAGATGATAAATTAAATTTAAGGCACTATACTAAGCTCTGATTTTGATTTTGAAAATGCAACAATTAAAGTACTTGTGAAAAAAATGCCGGCCTTCAAATGTGCTCAACGTGTGCGAATTCGGAGCACAACTATACTCGGCCCGATTCCGAATTTTGCGTTCGATCGATTCCGCTTCTGCGCTGAGTTTTATCCAACCAACTACATTTTGGTATCACAACTAATGAACGACAGAAAATATTGTCAGATCGGACTTGATTCGAGTCTGTGAGATTGGGGACACCACTTCACCAAAAACAATGTCAGGTATCTAAAGTAGATAACAAAACACATCATGGGACTTTTTATTTCGAAAACCTGTTTGGTTTTATATTCTGGATTTTTTTCCCAATAGAAAATATCAAGCTCCATTAAAATGTGGTAAATGTAGGCCCTACTTTCATAATTATAAAGGCTTTGCATAGACAATGTTGAATTGAGAATGTTTTGTTCATTTAAGTACTAATTCCATTTTGATCTTTTCTTACCTATGTCGCAATTTGTTCCATAGAAGCCGTCATCACAGGTGCATTTATAATTGTAATCGTTAGCGCTGTTGGTGTTTTCACATGTACCATTCTGACACGGTGGGTCTTTGAGGGCGCATGGCTTATCTATCACCGTGTCACACTGAGTGCCCTCGTAAAACACATCACATTCACATCTGTAGAAACCAATTATAATGCTGAGGTAAATGCCAGTGAAGACTGATCCACTGTATGCAGTAGCCATCTTGGAAATATATTTTGCTTATTTTGAATTCAGTGTCAAGTTTGAATGCACAAAATGGTCTGTGCATGAGCTTAGTAAAAAATATCGACTGGCTTTCCTCGTTATTGAAAATTATAGTCGAACATGCAAAGTTTCATACTATGACTAGAAAAAGGAGTTACAATCGACACAGATTTCAATTGCTTGCACAGCTATTTTTCCAAAGTCAATGGAAAAATCAAGTCAGATTGACTGATTTTCAGTTGCACCCAGCTGACCATGAATGGTCAAATTTGCTTTCTTGTCAAATCTGACTAATGCTTTTTTAAAGTGTGTGCATGCCTGTGGGACTAAAGCTCATGCATCCCTAAGATGAATGTCATGCAAAGGGTGTTAAGGCCTATGTCTTGCTACATGTATTAGTAGTTTGTAAACATGTTTATTAAGCAATTGAATACTGATGTTTAGGAATTGAACACAACTGATACACTCAACAACAAAAAAGAAAGTCCCCCCTTTATATATTTTTTTTTTGTAACTCAAAAACTACTGGGCATGTCTTGCTCAAATTACGACTGATCAGTACAGAAATTCCTTAGCAATCCAGCCCTACTCTTTGTTTGGCCCAAAATCGTGATAATGTGTACAAAATTATTCAGTTTATGACAAATGGTACCGAAAAAAATTTGCCCATTTGTATACGTGCAAGGTGAGTGTGAACCACAACTTGCACAAAAGTGCAACTGTTCTCGGTATCATTGGTCATACATTGCATAAATTCGTTAACTGTTTTTGGTCAAATAAGGAGTATGGCTGGATTGCTAAGGAATTTCTGTACTAATTAGTCGTTATTTGAGTGAGAGGTGCTCAGTAAGACAAAAACAATATTGGAAGGGGGACTTTCTTTTTTTGTTTGAGTGCATTAAGATTGTGTTTAATTGCTAAACACAGTTGTTAGAGTGCATGACTGCTCACCTGTAGGCATTCAACTCATCCACACACGTTCCATGCTCACAAGGCGAGCTAGCACACTCATCTATTTCGCTCTGACACAGCACGCCTTCATACCCCGCCGTGCAGTTGCAAACGTAGCCGTTGATGAGATCCCAGCAAGTCCCGTTCAGGCAGGGTGAGCTGTTGCACTCGTTGGTTTCACTGTGGCACGTTTCTCCGCCGTATCCCGGCGGACAGAGGCAGGTGTACCCGTTCAGGTAATCGGTGCAGGTGCCCTGGTGTAGACACGGCGAGCTAGCACACTCATCTATTTCGTTCTGACACAGCACGCCTTCATACCCCGCGGTGCAGTTGCAAACGTAGCCGTTGATGAGATCCCAGCAAGTCCCGTTCAGACAGGGTGAGCTGTTGCACTCGTTGGTTTCACTGTGGCACTTTTCTCCGCCGTAGCCCGGCGGGCAGAGGCAGGTGTACCCGTCCAGGTGATCGGTGCATGTGCCCCGTAGACACGGCGAGCTGGCACACTCGTCGATGTCTTGGTCGCACGTCTTCCCGCCGTAACCTGCCGCGCATTCGCAGATGAACCCCGGGTAATCGTCCACGCAAGTGGCGTTGTTCATACACGGATCGTAATCACACAGATTCAACCTCAGACACCTGACATAAGGAGAAAAGACATAATTACTTCTTAAATTTTAAGAGTTTAAAGCCATCGTTCTGTCCAGTTGGAAAATAGACAAGAGAAGTGAGCTGACGACGCTAACCAGATAGTCACAAATTCGCGACCCTCCTAAATTTGGTTGTGACCCACCGCTGCCAAACGACTAGAGAATTAATGAACTTCTAACGGACAAACTTGGTTGAAATTGTTCACAAATGCTTGCCCAATCATACACGGCGCCACACTTACCAGAAACCGTTGATCTCGTCCACGCAGGTCTCATTGGCATAGCATGGGTTCGAGGCACATTCGTCTATGTCCATCTCGCACGTGTCACCATCGTACCCGTCGACACAGTGACAGTGGTATCCAGCGAACTCGTCCTCACAAGTTGCGTTATTTCTACACGGGGAGCTCAGGCACTCGTCCGTCTCCAGATCGCAGTGTGTTCCCTCATATCCTTCTTGACATGCACACCTTTAGGGAGAAACCATTCAGTTCTTCGATAAATCGAAGGTCAAGCGCTGTTCAAAATGTTCAATGGTATAGTGGTCATGGAACTTTTTTGATGTAGAAGTTCAGTTTCCACCAGTAGGTCTACATTTTGAATGAACTTCCAACCACGTGATAATCCCACACTCGTTTATACGGCTGCAACTGGTGCTCTTCCACCGGGACAATTACAAATCAAGTCAATAACGTGACGACCATTTAAAATTAAAAGTTAATATAGCCAGTCCGATGTTCACAGAAAAAAAAGTAGGGGAGTGTCCCCCTAGCAATCAATGACCATGGCCACAATAAATTCCAAAATGTTATTGTTCTATTTATTGATCAAATAGGCCTAGTATTGAACGAAATCAATAATGCCGGTTTCATTACACTGCATATAATAGGCCTAATTCACGCGTAAATTTGCTTGGGATTCGATCGAACTTACTGATATTTCCCAATGAGATCATGACACGTCCCATTGTGAAGGCACGGACTGGAACTACATTCGTCTGTGTCCACGTCACACAAGAAGCCCTCGTAGCCCGTCTCGCACAGACAGTGAAACCCGTCCACTCGGTCAACGCACGTGCCGTTATTGGCGCAGGTTTGGTTGATGCAGAAATCGATGTCGACCTGTAAACAAAAGAAATTACTCATTAGCAAGAAGCAAACCTCATTATTATTAATAGTGAAGAATAGGGGACTGACAGCTGTAGGCCTATGTCATGTTATGCACAGAACCTTTGATAATGCGACATTCAGTCAACTGTTGTGCAATGGAGTGCATGAACATCTGATCTGATCTGATCTGATCTGATCTGATCTGATCTGATCTGATCTGACTGATCTGATCTGATATCACCAAGAACATAGCCTACAGCAAATTGCTTGTTGGCCGACCAACAAGAATATGGTAAAGTCAACAAACAGCAACAGTTGCTTCATTTATATAAGTGTTGCCGAAACCTCTGAATACGTGAATTTGCTTGGCGTAAATGAAGAAAAAAGACGACATGCGCAATAACAAAGGAACATGATTCCGTTCTTACCTCGCACAGATCTCCAAAATAACCCAGAGGACACACACACTGGAACTGTTCAATCAGATCATTACACGTGGCTCCGTTCTGACACGGCTGACCAGCGCAGTCGTCGTACTCACAGAACACATCCGCGTACACAAAACCAGGGGGACATGCGCAGGTGAAGAATGCCACGTGATCGTGGCAAGTCCCGCCATTTTTGCACGGCGTGGATGCGCAGTCGTCCACGTCGATGTTGCATGTCGTTCCTGTGGAACACATTGACGATTTTTTTTTTTATATATAAACATGGTAAAGCTTACCTAAGAAGTCCTTGTAGAATGTGAGAAGTTACAAGGGATACGATAAAAGGAATCATGTGCCAAGTGGGGGGAAAAAATCTCAGTCTATGTAGTATTTTTTCATGCAGTTCTTGCACCTTCGTGCCCCATTTAACTTTATTTTCAAGGGTATTTTGGTGCCTTTTCTGGTTTTTATGCTTTTGCCAATTTCCATATTCATGAGTAAAAGTGTGATGTCATTTCAGGCAGACACCACTTTGTAACAGCTATTTCAGCAAAAAAAAATTGCAAGGGTTTCGATATTTTGCCGTTGTAAATTTCCTTTTCTTTGGCGATTAGTTGTGTCAGTACATAGCAGTAAGCCAATGAGCAAACCTTTCTCACAAATGGTTTCAATGAGCAGAATTTTGGATTCACATCAATAACTGAACAGTTTCTTCCTGAAATGACTACAGAGCAACAGCGCCCTCAGTTATCTGGAAAAGCATGGACAATTTTTTATATCTTTAAAGAGGGGCACCTCTGAATAAAAATTAACCAAAAAGGGGGTTAAATAGTTTTCATACACTTTAAGAGAAGTAGAAAAGTGCAGAAAAAGTGCTCCCTAGAAAAATTCTAAAGTGGTAAGGAAGGCAACTTTTGGTGAAGCCGATCAGACAGGGGTATGTTAACAATGGACACGTGGCATTTTAAACATTCTGCTAGCGGCCCGGTAGCAGTATAGCAGATCTATGTAGAATGGTTAGAGCAGCAAAAAACTAGAAAGCGCACAGAGAGCGCAAACCTCCACCAAGGCTAAACAATTCCCCGCCATGTGCCAATGGGTCCCTTCGGTGGGGCGTGAGAAATACCTGGATGGGATACGACCAAGGCGCGATGACCGCGAGTGTTGGAGGGCGCCATCTATGGACATGCTTTGTCATCATATACACCCAAAAGAAATACTCGCATAAATGGGGCAGAATCCTCAAAACAAATCCTGGATCCAGACCCAGATCCGGATCACTTCCAAAATCTAATGGACTTCTACTGGTACCAAGGACCATGCACGCCCTCAAAAATGTTCATGCAAATCCGTCCATAACTTTTTGAGTATATTAACAAGAGTTATCTTGTTAACAATAGTTACCTTGTTAACAGACAAACCAACCAATGAAAACATAACCTCCTTCGCGGAGGTAATAATGGGTCAGTTCTTGCCGCATGCCATGAGGTTCGCTCGTACTCCCGACCTGCAAACAGGACGCTGGGAACGGCCAATCTTTTTGAGCCCTGATTGGATAGATTTTGCGTGACCTATGACGTAGATAGCCCCATAGATGTGGCCTATTTACTGGACTGCCTCCGTAAACATAGGCCACACATCCACATGTACAAAAATCGTGTCGACTTTACCCAATTTTGATTTTCACATTTAGGCTTACTTTGTAGGATTTTTTTGCTTTAGAAGCATACCCACCCTCTTTATAGGCTAGTCAGAAAGTGCTGCCTTTTTCAGATGTCTAATTTTTGTGAAATTTCATGTTGAAATTTTGATACGCAAACGTGTAAAAATGAATCTGGAAATTTCACGAAAAATAAACATCTGAAAAAGGCAGCACTTTCTGATTAGCCTATAAAGAGGGTGAGTATGCTTCTAAAGCAAAAAAATCCTACAAACTAAGCCTAAATGTGAAAATCAAAATTTGGCAAAGTCGACACGATTTTTGTACATGTGGATGTGTGGCCTATGTTTACGGAGGCAGTCCAGTAAATAGGCCACATTTATGGGGCTATGACGTAGAATGCAGCACACAAACTCGCTAAAGCTGTTTATCATTCGTGACCATGGGCGTCGCGAGGGGGAGGCAAGGGGGGCACTTGCCCCCCCCCCCCCTGGAAAAGCAAAAAAAAAAAAAAAAAAAGAAAAAAAAAAAGAAAAGAAAAGAAAAAAAAAAAAAAGAGGCGCGAAGACAAAGTGGTGTAAATTTAATGAGTTGGGGGGGGGGGCAAAATGTCCCTGCCCCCCTCTAAAACTGATAAATCGAGAATGTGTTGAGAAATACAAGCATTTTTTGGCAAAAGTTTTTTTTTGCCCCCCTCTAGAAAAAATCCTGGCGACGCCCATGTTCGTGACGCGTGCTAGCTGCATACAGTACATGCGAAGGTCATCATAAGTTACCCAGAATGCCGTCTGCACTTCCTTCACAAGATTCTGTGAAGCTAATCAGCCCCCATCACCCTGTTTGCAAGGCTGGGGTACGATAAAACGAAGCCAAGAGGGTAGGATATGTAGCGCCCTCAACTGTTTACACAATAAATCGTTAAAATGTACTCGCTTACCAGTCCAGCCATCTGAGCAGAAGCAGCTGAATTGATCGGCCCCGTTGACGCATGCGCCATTAGCACAAGGATAAGACAGGCACTCGTTTTTATCGAGCTCGCAATTGGATCCTGCAAAGCAAGAAGACGGAGACAAAATGCTGATGAGAGTTTACAATTAAAGGCCGTGCTCTAACGCCTAAGACTTAGAGCCATTGATGTAATGGTATGACAAAATTCATATAGTCATACTTGTGAACAAAAACAACATCGAAATCACTAAATGTTGTCCCTATTCCCGTTATGATAAATTATCAAAAGGCTATCCTTTTAACGTCTTTGCAAGCTGAGCCGGAAGCGATTTTTTTTTTCCAAACAAGATCGGACAATATCAAAAGAGGGCGCTCTCTCTGCGTTATGCATATTCATGATATGTCCAGGGCTTTAGAGAAGAAGTTATATAACAATGAATAATGGTGTTTAAATCACCGACGATTGGCAGCTGATTCGTGGACTGGTTGGAAGACTAGTCCTGACTTCTAACCAGTGATCCGAGTTCGAATCTCAGAGAGCGTTTTTCACTTCTTCTCATTTTTACCTTTTAAATAACTAAAGTGAGGAAGGAACACTTCCCACAAGACGTTAAGCCTATCTTGGGTTTGTCTTGTAGAGAACAAGGCATTAGATATGCATGTAATGGACCAATCAGAAGATAAGAAAAGATGGGATGTCGGTTGGAAAAAAAAGGTTTCGCGAGCCGGAAGGGTCCGCAATTCGTCTGACGTTTGAAAAAAAGTTTGTGTGTCGCCCATTTAGCTGCGAAAAAAACAGACTATAGAAACACTGGATGTACCTTCCCAGCCACTGTAGCAAATTTTGGCTCCCGAATTTGAGTCACATCGGTAATGTCCATACTGGTCATCCCTGGGAATACAGTGCACACTGCAGTCGGAGCCATAGTAATAACTGTCGCAATACACCCTCACTTGAAAACTGAAGTCGATCCTAGTTAAAAAAAAAAAACGTAAAACGAGAAAGAAAGAAGACACATTAAGAGTTGGTTACAAAAATTACAATCTCCAATTAAGTAGTTAAGTCTGCGAAAAAGAACTGTCAAACGTTGACTTTTTCAAGCCATGCATTCGGAGAAAAAGTTTTAGAGTGCACACCCAGGAAATACATATTTTGCAATTAGAGGCAGGCCTAGTTATTGAAGACTAAATGTCTGACTTTGATTCTTCCCTGACATTTCATATTGGTCTTGTGAGTGAAATGATTATTCATGTGCCGCCTGGAGCTGTTTTTGTTTTGTGTGTTTGTTTGTTTGTTTGTTTGTTGGGGTGTTTGTTTGTTTGTTTTTGCATGGTATTGATTTGTTGAAACATACAATTCGGAAAGATGTTGGTAGATAAATCTTTCCTTTTTTGTCATTCATGTCCTAGTGACGTACTGTGACCGTGAGCCCAGCCTATACTGCTGCCACGTCGCGCCCGATAGACTCCGTGCAGCCGCTTTGTAAATGGTCCTTCTATCACGATCAATCTCGTCATCATTATTCTGGGTATCCAGATCCCAGACTCGAACGAAGACTTCCATGCTGCCCTGTCAAACAATCGAAAATACGAACACTTAAAGTCGGATTGAAAAAAAAAACATGCACTCATGGGAGCGGCTGAAGCCACTTCATTATATAGACTTATACTGCCAGCTGTACGCAGACCGGCAGCAACACATCAGCCCCAGAATCATAGACAGTAGGCAATACGCTTCCAACCAGGATTTGATGTAAAACGAAATGAACACAACTGTTGAACAAAGATCAGCGGCAGTGGGGAGTAGTGGCAGTGTAAAGGGTGGATTTCGGGATGGGCGTTTCCGAAGCCGGCCTGTTTATTTGTCTAATTTGCAAAATATATAAGCCCGCTTGAGAAAAAAAAAACATACATTTCTTTTCATAAGGAAAAAGCAAATTACGATTCATTGTTTAATGTTCCACCTGAACAGGTATTTCATCCTTTTTAGTCCTATTTTAAACCCTTTCAGCATCATAAATATGACAAAATACAATAGGGTTACAGTAAAATGTTTCACTGTTTGAAGTACTTGTGTTCAGGATGAAAAATGACTACTTTGACATAATTGGCATTTTCTCAGCAACCCAACGTGCTATTTTCATGATTTTTGTCTCAGTATTTGAAGAAAAAAGCTCTCAGCTTTAATCAGATACACAAAACATATACTCCCTGCACCCATAAAATTGAGCCCAGTCACGAATCAGATATTTTTCACAGGGGTCAGGTCCGTCAGGCCTACCACAGGACTGAGATGTTTCCAAAATGGGTGAAGGGGCTGTCCAAGAAGTTACAGTCACATTTGTACAGAAACCAACGGTCTTAAGAGGTATTTCCATCAAATTCATTTGTACTCTTGTCATAATATGGGCTGTTGATTGTAAGGATTAGGACATGCACTAGGTACCTTGAAAAATCATTAAGGTGGTAATTGTTTGTGTACAGGATGAAAATAACTACTTTTACATAATTGGCATTTTCTCAGCGATCCAAAGTGTTATTTTCATGATTTTGTTCAGTATTTGAAAGAACAACTCTCAGCTTTAGTCTGATACCAAAAACATAAAAAATCACCAATCACTTTATTGTTATTAAAGTCAAATGTTTTAGGGTTGTATTTTTTTGTTGGGTCACCCTGTATAATATGCTAAATATAGTGTCCCATAGTGCCACTCTGAATAGCTTACCGACCAGGAGTCGACACGTATGGTGTACGGGTTCGCTATCAGGTTGGGTATGGTGGAGGGGAAGTTGAAGTTGTCGTTATCCTCGTGCAGTTTCGCTGTTGTGATAGCTGCCATGTCGCAGGATGTACCCAAGGGACTTGAAAGTGTTCAAAGAGAATGATTAAACACAATTAGATATTTGAAGAGGTCTTAAAACTAAACATGAAACCAATAGGCCTAAAGAAATATATAATTCAAAAAAGGTCTACGAGGTATCACAACTATCCTCGAAAGGCGGCCAACACACAACGAGCTTTTGTTCTTTTGTTTGTAACAAAACCGACACTTAGTTTAGCCCACTTCAAACTAACTTCTCAGAAGGTGAACTTCACTCTGCACTTATTACATATTCATTTCCATATTTTATATTGTTCATTTATATCTATCTAGCCTTGAGTCAAGACGTCACTGATTTCCTTAAAAGTGGGGTCAATTTTCAAGGTACAGCGTCGCAACACTAGTATAGTTTTAATTATCCTGTTTGTATCTCCGTGCCGTTTCCTGACAAAAAAAGGCATCGCTGTGATGTCAGTGTAGGCACGCACTCTACACTTACGATATCTTCACAATTATGAACCCCAACATGTGCACTGAAATTATTGAACATAAAATTGCGCAATTTAAATGGCCTATGCTATGAATTTTGTTCAACTTTCTGTATGTATGAACACTTTTTCGCCTCCCTTGTTGCTTAATTGTATTGAAAAGAAACATTTAAAATGTTCCATGTTTTCCGGACAACTGAGGACGCTGTTGCTGTGATGTCATTTCAAGAAGACACTGTTCATTTTAAGGGCTTTCTGATCAAACTGTGAACCCAAAATGTGTTCATTGAAAATATTTGTGAGAAAGGTTTCCCGATAGGTTAACTGCAATGTACTGACTCAATTAAGGAATCACCAAAGAAATGTAAATGTACGACAGCGAAAAAAAAAAAAAAAATTACAGGGCATATAGCAACTTTTTGTGCTGAAATAGCTGTAACATTTGGGAACGACATTACAGTTTTGCTCATGAATATGGAAATTCGCCTTAGCATAAAAACACAAAAGGCACCAAAATACCATTGAAAATGTCCCCAAAAACACCCAAAATATTGAAAATAAGTTTCGCTGTTCTTGTATCTGCCATGTCGAAGGAAGTGCCACAGGGACTTGACAGTGTTCAAAGAACACAGTTTAATTGTCTCCAAAACTAAACATGAAACTATTGAAAATAAGGTTAAAGGGACACAGAGGTGCATTTCCCATGATAAATTCTTTAAATGGGCCGTCATGTACTAAGTCAACAAACAAACAGAGAATCGACCACGATCCCGGCCCCCAACACACACGAACAAATACTTATACTTTGGAACACAAACACTGAAGATGCTGTAAAACTGATGCTTCTAGATGATGTCACTCTAGCTCTTGCTTGTGAATATGGAAAATCGCATCAGCATGAAAGACTTTAAAAAAATTATCATAGAAATGGCTGTATTTTTTTAAGTCAGAAAATCGTCACCAACACCACGAACTGACATGTCTGCGCAAGTGGGAGTTAGTTCGTGAAAACCACGTATCACCAACTGACACCCGGTAGTACGTGCGCGCGCACATCGCGTATATCGGACACTGACCCGAAATAGAACAATTATATGTTATATTGACACTTGAATGATGCCGACTATCTAACGTACCCTGTATCGTCGCCGTCGATACACACAAAGAAGTAGTTATCACAGAAGTCATCGCAGCCACCAAAGAAGTCATCGCAACAACCACCGTCATAATCATTATGGTCGGAATTGTAGAAAGATACAAACTTGAACTGGACAGAAGCAGTCGCCCATACCAAAAGGAATACCTGCCCAATTCAAACAAGATCATAAAGGAATAATGACCTAAACAATGAACATGACTTGATTAAAGAGTTCAGGCCAATAGCCTACAAATATGATCTGGGTCATTTTCCCTATTTTGCCAATATTTATATTTCATATAATTATAAAATCCATATATCTATTCCCCCCCCCCCCCCGCAAATAACATCTGTAAAGCCAATCATATTCATCATTAGCAAACAAGTCTTTTGACACATTCCTGCAGTTATATTTTCGCTCTTTTTAAAAACAAAACCACTGTCTTGGGTTGTTTTCTTTCATTTTATCAACGAATGAATTCAGCTGTCAGTAAAAATAGATCGAATACTTTTGAAGGCCAGTGTAAACACGGAAGAAGCGCTATGCAGACAAGATGTGGCACGAATTTCGTTTTCGAAAGTAGCTCAAGTTACACTGAAACTGATCTTTGCATATTGCGAACAATTTGTGTCGAGCATTAACACCCATAAGTACCTAATGAGCGTTAATGCTTGTCGTGAAGTGTTCAATTGCAAGGTACAAATACAGGGGCCAATTTCATAGAGCTGCTTAAGCACACAATTTGCTTAAGCACGAAAACGTCATGCTTAATCAATTCAGGTTACCGGCCAAAACTCCATGCGATTGTTATGCTAAGTAAACAACAGCTAAATACCAGTCACAAGCAATGTACATCACATGGAGTTTTGGCCGGTAACCTAATTTTACTAAGCAATGTTTTTTTGTGCTTAAGCAAATTTTCTGCTTAAGCAGCTCAATGAAATTGGGCCCTGCAGGTTTCAGTGCAAACTAATTCAGTTTCAATGAATTCCATAGGCGTAGCCAGCGGGTGGGGGGGGGGGGTGTAAGGGGGGTATTTACCCCCCAATATATTGTAAAGACTGCCTTTTTCCATTCAAATTCCCTTTTTTTTAACGGGCTTACCCCCCCCCCCCAAATAATTTGTAAAGAGTGGCCTTTTTTACGAAGTGGCCTTTTTTTAACAAGTGCCCTTTTCAATAAAGCAGTGGTGCCTTTTTTTGTGGCATTTGGCGTTTTGGGTGCCTTTTTCAGAATTTCGCACATGTATCGCCCTGAGAAGCACCATATATTGGCCCTTTGTGCGCATAAATGTCGGTTTTGAACAGTGCCCCCACCGACAGATGGTACCATTATCCCCCCCCCCCCCCCCGAGGCCCCGACTTTTGTATTTTACGGAGGCTAAGTGTCCGGAGGAAAGAACCCTGTCTACATTTCACAACGGATGTGCAAGTGCCCTTTCAAAATATCCCCCCCATAAAAATGACCATGCTACGCCCCTGAATTCGTATAATTGGTCGTGAGTCGCCATATGTGAGCCCTTATTTTAATGTCTCGCATTATTTTATCATGTCAAAAGTTAGATCGCAAATTTGGAGGAAATTGTTTTCATCTTTGTCGTCGCATAAGAGTATAAGTAATACATAATCATGATTTTCACTAAAAGATATAGCATAATAGAATTACCATATCCAGGTCAACTTTGTTAACCTTCATTGTTATACCCCCCCCCCCCCGCGGTTATTGTCACCCACATGACAAATTTGTTGAATTTCGCTACGAGGTACTTGATCCTTGCATTTATATAGGATCTTTATACTGCTAAATCAGTCATATATAGGCCTAAGTGGTTTACTACTTTGCGAATATGCTGAAAATTCGAAGTCATAAACATACACGTCATTACTGAGCCTCCATTGTATTCTGATCTATGAAGTAAGATAGGTAACAGAGGAACCAAGATAGTTCATGTAATACCAGTTCCTTTGTTAACTTTGTTCCTTTTCTAAAAAGGAAATACCCTTACATAAGCATGGTTCCCTATAGGCCCTGTAGGGAGCGATAGGCCATTGTGATAAATCAGCAAGGTGAATATATTTATATTCATGCCCTTCTTATTCGACCATCATTGCATGGATTCCTCCATGATCATTGCAATCTCAAACACTTCGACCAAAATTGTCCACCGTTGTATTTCCAGATTAAGTTGAAGGATCAATATTGACGAATAGACCTATAGGCCAAGTCAGTCAATAATAAATCTCTTCTGGTGAGGTGCGTATGTAGAGCCAACCAGTTGTTTGCTCTATGGTTGTACACTGCAGAGTCCGCTAGCGCTGACGATTAGTACGCTTAGTCGTTTTGGTTAACTCGAAACCATTATGACCAAATCGAAAAGATCTCAAAATTCTTACCTGTGACAAAGTCGTCAAACGAAGAACAAGCTTCATGTCTGGGACAGGTCGCTCGCAAAATAAACTCGTTGATGTCCGTGTATAAATTTCCCGTAAACTACAAATTGGTATTGCTTTTTGATGCGCAATAAAAATGGAGTTTAGTTCCGTGTACGACTACCTTTATATTCACAACTTGGTAGAATGAGCAAATAAAATAGACACCAAAGAAGTATAAAGGACCACGGAGTTTCGGCTCTAGTGTTTTGCAAATAAGGGTCATGGCCATAAAGAAACCAACGTCACAGTGTTTTTTCGGAATACAAAAGACGCTGTGGCGCTTATCAGAAGTCGTGGAGAATTTGCTTGCTTGCAATGATCTTTATCTCACAACACTGCAGCACCAAGGATCAGGAATGTCAACATAACAGCATAAAATGTTTGCCCTCTCCGTTGCTATAATATGAGTGGTCAGGTTTTTTTTTTTTTAAACATTTTCATTTCAGTAAGTAGATAAGTGATCATATCCTAATATAATAAGTAAGAAAGAAAAAGTTTATACCAAATTTTTTTTTAATCATAGTACATGTATGGTCTAACTACCCTCACATCGGAAGAAACTTTCAAGTTTGGCTCGATTCAGTAGCCAAAGTCCACCCTCCGATTAAGAATTAAATTTCAAAGGTGCATTGTGACAGGGGGTGAGTGTACTATGTCTGTAACATTTGAACAGATTCGCTGATTAATTGTGCCAGACAACCGCATCTTGACCTCCAGATTTTGACCAATCAGCGAGCGCTTTCTATATCCGGTCTTCGGTCATTCACCCGTAGCGCGTCATAGACATGGATAACAAAAACTGTGTCATGCGCTCTGTGTCATGTTACGCGATATGCGCCCGGCTAATGTTGTATTACAAAACACTGCATTCGAATTGACCAATCAAACCATTAGTCCTGATTTTGGGAAAGAAGTGACGTTACAATTTAGTAAAGTCGACTCCGATTGGCTGGCGCGCGGCTTGTATATAATCTGCATGGTTAGACAAAAAAATTTATCAGACGTTATACAGGAGACTTGGCTCCGTGGATAACGGGTGATATTCAGGAAACTTGGCTCCGTGGATAACGGGTGATACTCAGACTAGGGGATCGGGGGAATAGTCTCATACAGTGGGAGAAGAGTGAATTATTTCACCCATGTTGCCATCTATAACCGTTGCAGATCATTATAAGGTAGCTACAACTGGTAAATGGTAATGAACCGCCATTATCAAAAGGGGGGGGGGAGACTGAAGAAAAAAACCCAGAAAGATTGTGTTCAAGGTGGGCGACACGCATTCATAAATTCCTTTTCGGTCAAAAACAAATCAAAATGTTTCGGTCCACAGGAGTAAAACAAAAAGTCACAATTATAAATTTCCGACAATTTCGTTCAACAAAACACCCCTCTATGCTATACACTGGCTCTGGTAAACAACTTACGTACTATGAAATACAGCCTCATTGGTAGTATTGCGCATGCCTACGCGAGGATTGTGATAAATGCACAACCAATAAAACGGTGCTGGCACAGGATTTCATAGGAGTCCAATTTCATGTGACACTGCAAAAGTGTTTAAGTCTTAAAGACCAGCTAGCCAAGGGCGGATGGGGGGGGGGCCAACGGGGCCATGACCCCCCCCCCCCCCCACCTCGACCCCCCCCCAAAAAAAAACCCCGATTTTTTTGTTTTAAGTGACGTCGCAATAAAGTCAGGAAATGCGTACACCACCATCTTTTCCTGAAAAGAACTTGGTCATGCAAAGTGGTCAGAAATTGCCCCAGATCGCACCACAGAGCATCTAATATCCGGGCCCCGAACCCCACGCAGTAATTTTCTGGACCCACTTTTTTGGGAAAAGGACCACATTTTTTTGGCGCCCCCCCCCACCCCCCCCCCCCAAAAAAATAGCGTTTTGGATCCACACCTGCAGCCGGCCATGTCTTTATCAACTGTTTAATACCGGCCACAGGACGGGTTCTCGACCAATACAGGAATGGGTAAACTGTCTTAGGTATTACCCATTATATTTGTCGAGAGCCCGTCACGTGGCCAGTTTTAAAACGGTTGATAAAGACTGGCTGGCTGGTCTTAAACACTTTTCCACTGTGTCACATGAAATTTGGACTCCTTTGAAATCCGGTGTCTTTTGTAACCGTTTTATTGGTTGAGCGTCCACAATGCACTTAAAGTCATGCCCAATACTACCAGTGAGTCATAGTATTTCATAGTCCTATTAATTCACACCACACCGGTGTAGCATGAATTAAGGTTTTATGAAATACTCATTGGTATTGCACATGCTCATGCATAGATAATTAGGAGAGGGACCGGTCACGTGAGAGGGTTTAACCAATAAAAGGGGAAAAGAGTCCGATTTTCATACGAGTCAGAGTTTCATATGACACCGGCACAGCTGTATTCTGCGCGACATCTCGCATTACGCGCGACACGCCGCCGATCTCCATGTAAGGAGTTGTGTACGACATGGACACTACCATAATAAAGCTACATATGGGTGTTTCGAAAAACATGAAGTATCATTGTTGAAAAAAAATCGTTGGAAATGTATGATTTTTGACTTGTTTTGACTTTTGGACGGGAGAGGACTAAGTTGCGTCAACGCTGGTTCATATGGCGCTTGCCACAGTAGAGATTTATCGCACTGGTCAATCACTCAGGATCAATGTCCGTCGAAGGCCACCATATTAATGCCGAGCGAGGATTTATTTTTTTAATACTGGTTACGCCCCAACTATCGCATCGGTCCCAACTATAGTTGGGCCTGTCCCAACTGTAGTTCCACAGTTGGGCTGGCCCAACTATAGTTGGGCCTGTCCCAACTATAGTTGGGACGGTCCCAACTGTAAGATCCACTGTTGGGCTGGCCCATCTATAGTTGGGCCACTCCGATCTTTTTATTTTGCGGTGTCCCAACTAAAGTTTACATTGATGTACAACTATAAAACGTTCCCTACAGCTCTGATACACGTCTGACTTTACTGGGGACCACTGAAATTAGCTATTGATGGGGCGAATCTATAGTTGGGCCACCCCAATCTTTTTATTTTGCGGTCCCAACTATAGTGTACAAACTGTACATTTTTGTACAATTATCAAACATTCCCTACAACTCTAATACACATCTGACTTTACTTGGGACCAATGAAATTATCTATTGGTGGGGACCATCTGTAGTTGGGCCACCGCAATATTTTTATTTGGCGGTCCCAACTATAGTTTACATTGATGTACGACTATAGTATAAAACATTCCTTACAGCTCTGTTACATGTCCAACTTTACTTGGGACCTTTGACATTAGCTATGGGTGGGGCCCATATATAGTTGGCCGGCCATTGCAATCTTTGGGTTTTGCAAAATGTTGCTGGACAATAAAACCCGGCAGCTGCAACTCATCTAGCTAGGCAGTACCACGTGACCGGCCAGCCTTGCGGCATGCATGCACGACGAATACACGGTGCCAGCGCTGCGGAACATCGCTTTGCTCACGAAGTGACAAAAACCTCGAAAATCGATAATTATTCGATTTTGAGTTTTACTAGCCATTTTATTATAGTTGTCTCAAGGAACAATTTGACCAAGTTTCAAGGCAAAATATTGTTTACTTGCTTAATTATTGCAAACAAACAATTGACAAAAAGCCTGAAATCGGTGATTTTCATTTTCACCAAGTGTAAAAATGTGTAAAATGTTCTCACGAAGTGACAAAAAGTCACTTCGTGAGCAGGGCCAGAAATTATACAATGGTCTACACGCGGAAGGATGGGAGCATACACGCGCGCGCGAACGATGTTGAAAAAGAACAGACGCGCGCGCGCAAAAGTAACAAGTTTGTTGCGTCGAAAAAAATCCCACGAAGTGACAAAAACTGTGTACAAAGTAATAGGCAAAATATGGGACCCAAAGTTTTGATGTTTTCACGAAGTGCAAAAAAGTTTTATTAATGAATTACTGTTTAATTACGAACTATTTTTAACAAACAACTATGAATTAACAAAGAGCAAATCATATCCTATCGGACAATGCAAAAATTTCCGAATTCTGTTACTGCAAAGTGGTCGAAAATGTCTTTTGAAAAAAGGAATAACTTCAAATGCGATTATCTCAGAATGAACTTTTGTCAATTTTTTAGGTTTTTGTCACTTCGTGAGCAAAGCGACGAAAGATCTATCAAGCATGAAGCTTCCGGCGCAACTCCAGTCCCAACCATAGTTGGGCCGACCCAACTGCCGCACTATAGTTGGGACAGTCCCAACTATAGTTGGGACCGATGCGATAGTTGGGGCGTACAATACCAGTTGGTTTTGTCTCTATTTGTAGAATACATGCGATACAGGTTGGACACTGTACACGGTGGCCGTGAATGCAATTTTCTCGGCTGGGCTGGTTGCGTGTATCGATACTGTTAATTCCAATTTCTTTTTGGTATACTCTTCGTAGGTTTTGCTTTTCATGTTTATTGGGGATTTTCAAAAATGTTTGATCACAGCTTGATGAAATAGCACATACGCTACTGCAATAGTTTTGAAAAGGGCGAAAATAAATTACGCCTACTCATGGCCACCGTAGGTATTCTCATCCCGTAATGTATGTGATCTACGTGAACAATCATTTATATTGATCCCGTGCAGCTGCTGTCGTTTGAGAAGGGTGGGTACTTTATTTTTCGCGATAAATAATGCTCGATTATTAAGCGATTCTGTAAATTACAGAATTTTAATTTTGATTTCAATGCAATTTTATGTCTGCATCAATCTTAAGAATCCATTGCCAGCTATTTAGAATTCAGTGATCATGATCTTGATGTTAATTGTCATTTTTAAAATTTCTGCTCAATTTTCAGAAGTTTAGGCCTAGTACATGTACTACTACTACTACCATGGAGCTATAAACACATAGCTCCATGCTACTACTTAGGCCTTGTGTTTATAGCTCCATGGTCTTAGTAGTCGTACTCGTGTCGACGCAAAGGCTACATGTATGCAGTTTGTTTGGCGGTAATCCTTACTTTTAGGACCCCGTTCCTATATAGGAAGGGAAAGACTCACCATAACAGTTGGCTAAATGACACTCAAAAGTGACATTCTGATATTTCTTGGCACATCTAAACAATTGGCAATGACACCTTCTTGAATATCAGCAGGTTTAATTTTGTGGAAAGAGGGCAGGGTTTTGATTTATGAGGGAAATTCAGGGGTAAAAGAAGACGATGACAACCAGAAAACACACTCAAAAACCAAGATGGCAAACGTGAAAGCTCGATGCGATGAAAGCTCGATGCTGAT